ATTAATTTTTTTATTTATTCCTTATGAAAATTCCTTTAAGCTTGCTAAGTTCTGCCGTGACCTTCGAAACTACAACACCCTCTTTTGCATCATGGTTGGACTACATCAAAACCCTGTTGAGCGACTTCGGCAAACCTGGGAGCGACTGCCAAATAAGTATCATAAGATTTACCGTGACTTGAGTGTAAGCAATTAACTTTTTTTATTTTCTTGGTTTTTGTTGTTTTAGCCGAGCTTTGTCGTCTGGTGTCATTATTTGATAGATACATTTTTTCCTGAAAATGAGATCTATTTCTCTTTATCGATCTTTTGGAATTCAGTTGTGATTCAGTGGGTCGTAAAGAGCCTCTCATTTACAATTAGCCAGTGGCACGCCATCTTCGTGTTCGCAATGGCTAAATATATTTATTGCACCTTGATACTCATCATATTACATCATCGCATATGATTTTTTCACCATCACAAATGAGGGTTTGTAACAAAAAACTTCCGTCTTGGGCAGACAACACAACCGAAAACTTGATTTATATTTTTATTTAATGTTCTATCAAACGAACGGGTTTTCAAATAACCTCATATCTTCTGCTGTGCCGATTGGCTTCCGACTAGCCGGAATCTCGAACTTTCATTGATCTCTAATGTTTTCCTTAGACGTGATTCATTCGGCATTATACTCAGACCTTCTAGTATGCTTTCTAAAACTTAAGGCCCACCATGATTCCTAAGCTTATTTTTATATCCACTTTTGTACTATTCGAAAATAGCAAAAGTTAAAACCGTCTTTGTGAATGAAGTTTTATAGATTTCTTGTAAGAATTATTAATTTATTATTAGTATTAATAATGCGTAAACCAATTAGAAAAATTAACTATGCTTGCTTCATCATGGTTCACATGTTCTTAGTTCTTTTTATTCAGATAATTAGCTGGAAATATCTCATGTTTGATAGACATGCAATAGAAGCTCATATTTTCGTCACTAGTTCCTATTATTCCTCTTTTAATGGTATTTATGCTTTCCTTTTTACCTTTTAACTGTATTACATTTATATATAGTATCAAAGAACTTTTTCTCCCCCGTTTTTACGTTCTTTTAGCTGATATTAGACACTTCGCGAAATTTCTTCCAATATCGCAGCATGCTCGCTGCTGCCGGAGCTATCGCTCCTTCTCCAATGCTACCTTACTTGCCCTTGGTTATAAAGGATCTTACTTTTTTGCATCTCGGAAATGCCTCTCGGACACCTGAAGGCCTGATAAACTTTGTAAAGCTGCGCATGATCGCCAAAGAGGTAGGTATACTTCAGCATAACATAGTGACTCCAAAGGCTTGTCCTTTAGCTTGGGATAGTTTCTATCTAAAGATTTGGTTATAATGGCTTAAAGATCGTAGCACATCTTTGGCTTTCTCCGGTCTTTTCTTATTCTTTTTCCCTCTTATCTTATTTTGTACCCTTGCGTAAGGTCCGGGCTACCTGTCGCATGTGTAACGTTGAATATGATCAAGCTACTGCTCGTCGTCTCCTCCGTGGTGCCTCATCGATCATGTCTGTTACCAGCATGTCTCCCTCTACTGGTCTAGCTGGTGGAGTAGGTGGTTTCTTACTTGGTGTGGCCTCAGCTGCAGTAGCCGTAAATCCAGTTTCTACCACTGCTATCGGGACTGCCTCCATCATCTCCTACCCTGTCACTCTCACTTCTCAGGCTACATCCAATGCATCTGGGAGCATAGCCAATCTGTCACGAAAGTCC